CACACACACACACACACACACACACACACACACACACACACACACACGGCTCAATTTCAACCTGCCACCTTGGCTCAATTGCTGGGTGCTTCTCCTGGGCTAGCATGCACTTCCCAATACTCTTCACTCAGCACATCTTAAACTGCCCTTAGCTTAGTGTCCTGGTTACCTTTTCCTCGTTCAGCAACCCAAAACTGCCCTCAGCTAGTTGCTATTGCCGCTCCCCCAAGATCTCACATGGCTGGTCACCTTTTCTCCCTTCAAAGCATGATAAAATTTCCCTTCCTCATCCTGTGTCTCTTAGCCTGTCCTCGAGAATCCAGAAGTCCCATCTCTTTCCTTCACTCAGCAATTGGCCCAGGCATCTTTATTGATCTATCAAAAAGCAATTGGAAAACAGGACCTTAGCATCAGAACCACCCTCTATAGCTGTTTGTACGAATGCTAATTATGTTCCCCTCAAAACCTGTTTGTATAAGAATGTCTGCACTTAACTTCTGGGAACCTGTCCCAATAGGTTCTGATTGGTAATAAAGATGTCAACAGCCAATAGCTGGGGAGGGAGACAGAGGTGGGATTTGAGGATTCCCAGGCTTGGGGCCAGGAGAAGAGAGAAGGATGAAGGAGAGATCCCACATACTAGGGAAGTGTGGCGGGAGAGATGCCATACCTGAGAAGAGTGCAGGACAGAGAGATATGGTTGCCATGTGAAGGAGCTGGGAGAGGCTGGCCCAATTGAGCAGAGTCGAGAGAAGCCAAGATAGAACATTGGTAAATAATAACTTGGGAATAATGGCATGGAGGCTAGGCAGTGCTGTTTAAGGCATATCAAAATATCAAGGCTGTGTGTGTGTGTGTGTGTGTGTGTGTGTGTGTGCAAGTGTGTGTGTGTGTGTTTCATTGGGAACATAAATCTTGGGGTGGGCAACAAACCTGCCGTCGGGATTTATATCTTAGACAATACTACAATACCACATCTTCTAAACACAGAGTTTTTTAGCTGTCTGACTCTCAGGATCAGCATCCAGAGCTCCAAGGAGCTCCATGATAATCATGTGTCTCCCAGGGCATCTGGTGGAGAATGTCTTCTTAGAATACATAGCATGGCTAGTTCTTGTATTTTACCAAGGCATTCAGGCATTTTTCTAAGCTGTACTTAACCCTGCCTTTGGAGTCCCTTTGGTCCTTCTTTCCGTCTTTCCTAGGCAGCTTCCCTCAGAGTTCTTGCCTTTCAGAAGCTGCCTTGAATATTTGTTTACAGCCTCTCTATCTCCAAAGCATTGGCTGAAGTCTAGTGTGATGATAACATACTTGGGAGGCCAATGCAGAAGGATCATGAGTTCCTACCTAAGCTAAATAGAGAAGCCCTATCATGAGAAGAGAAAACAAACAAACAAGACTTTAATATTAAAATAAAAGCTTTATAAAAGAGAAATTGGCTTTTGGCATTCTGAAACAGTAATTACATTTTCCACATTGACTTTGTGATTCTCACGGGCAATACCCAACAGCCTGGAAAGGAATCTAGAGGAAAAAGTGACCAGGCCTCCTGGACCCTCACCATCCTCTCGGATCCCAGCTTGCCCCCTCTGCTTGAGGGAGTAACATTTTGCCACTACTTTTTTTGTGGGTGATTTGATGATCTTGGAGTTCCCTTTTCATTTTGTTTGTCCTTAAAATCATAGGCTAATTAAAGGAACACAGCAGCCTGAGGGTAGAGCTCAGAGGTGGATAACGTGCCCACCATATAAAGAGCACCGGATCTTGGCCATGTATCTTATCAAAGCAATTTACTTTAGACAGCCACCCTTAGCTACACACTGAGTTTGATCTCAGCTGGCTACATGAAATCCTAGCTCTACAAAGGGAGGGAGGGAAAAAGAGAGAGAGGTAAGGAGGGAAGGAAAGAAAAAAAGCAAATTCATTAAATAAAAATCAAACAAATAAAACTGTATATAGAAGAACTTTATATGTGGAGAGACAGACAGACAGAGACATGTACACACACATATACACACTTCAATTGACGAGTACTTGAACATTTATAGGTATTTTATTTCCTAGAGTCTAACCTTGGTTTTTACAGGCCAGGATCAAATGGTTCTACCTATCTGGGCCTTATTTTCCTGGTCATGAAATAAGAAGTTCATCAGTATAATGTATAAATTCCTTTCAAACTTTATATCCAAGTAACCTGGCATCATGAAGAACAAACATCAAGCTTAGAATCTGGGATCTTAGAAGAAGAAAAAACAAAGTCCCAATTTATCTCCAGATTAAACAATTAGTTGTAAATTAGGTCTGGTCTTTAGGAAGATTTGAGAGTCACCATCAAGACACTATGTAAACCCACAGGAACAAATGCTATTACCCAAGAAAAGACAAAAATAAAAAGACAAAAGTGAAAATAAGTTCCTAAAAAAATATACTGCTGGGCAGTGGTGGCGCACGCCTTTAATCCCAGCACTTGGGAGGCAGAGGTGGGCGGATTTCTGAGAGTTCGAGGCTAGCTGGTCTACAGAGTGAGTTCCAGGACAGCCAGGGCTACACAGAGAAACCCTGTTGTCTCGAAAAAATAAAATAAAATAAAATGAAATGAAAGGAAAGGCAAAAAAACATAAACAAACAAATAAATAAAAATTTAAAAGTTATTAATAAAGAGAGCTGAGTGGTGGTGGCACACAGCTTTAATCCTAGCATCTTGTGACTTCTGAAGACACTGTAGTCAAGCACAAACTCAGAAACACAGTTAAAAATAAATAATATCTGTTGGGCAGTGGTGGCATACACCTTTAATCCCTTGGGAGGCAGGGGCAGACGGATCTCTGAGTTTGAGGCCAGTCTGGCTAGTCTACAGAGAGTTCCAGGGCTTCACAGATAGACATGTAATGTAAGTAGGTAGGTCAGTAGGTCAGTAGGTCAGTAGGTAGGTGAGCAAGCGTAAACAGATCTTTTAAAAAAGAGAAACACACACCTTCAGAAGGAAGGGAGGGAGGGAGGGAGGGAGGGAGGGAGGGAGGAACTCAGGTGGTTTGGGGATAGCACAGTGGTAGAGTGCTTTCCTAACATAGTATGCTCAAGGCCCTAAGTTCAATTTCAGGTAAGGGCAGGGGTGAGTAACAAGGTGAAGAAGGAACGGCAAAGAATAATCTAGGTCCCAAAGGCAGACTGAATGTAATTTTAGTAAGTTTCTTTCAACACTAAGAAACTTTAAAACATCATAAATTAAAGCAAATGAAGACTATAAATAACTTCAAGCTAACTTGGCATAGCTTATTTCTCTTGTCTTAAATTTTACAGGACTCTATTAATTCCCTCACCACACAGAACGATGTTTATGAACACTCACCTTGCCATGACTTCTTTCCACTTTCTGAAAACATTTATTCAAGGATAGATTATGCCGAACAGAATTCTTCCAGCCTGTAGGTGCAGTGGCAAAGTATGGGAAGCGATCCAGAATCCAGCTGTAAATTTCTTTGACAGGCAAACATTTATTTGGTGAGTGTTCAATAGCCATATAAATGAGAAGACTAAAGGAGTATGGGGGCTTTGAAGTTGCTGATTTTTTTTCTGGGTTCTGGTAGTATGATGGTCCGAAGGATGGCATATCATCTCCCTCTATGTCATACAACGGACTAACCATTGGAAGGCCTTCACTTCCAAGCCTGAGGTTTGTTAGAAGATTACTACTCTCATGAAGCCAGTTCAAGTTTGTTAGTTCGTCATCTGCTGAGTCACTGCCCACTAGAGTGGCCTTTGGCCTAGCAGCATCCCCAGCTTCAGGCAAACTTCCCATTTTGTAAATCTGACTCAGTCCTGCAACCTTCTCAGCTCCCGGAGTCTCAGCTCTCTTATCCGGAGTCATTCCAATTACTGGACCCATTGACTCATATATTTCTGCAATAAAAAACAAATTACCAATTAATGTAAATCTAAAACTCTAAAAAACCAAATAAATGTTTACATATACATATTAAATCAAGGAAATTTACAATTGATTATGCCATATAATAAATAAATAGATAAAACACACATACATATTTGGGTTTTGTTTTCTTTTTTTGAGGCAGGGTCTCTATAGTCGAAAACAGTCTTCAGTGCTGGGAATAAAGATGTAAACCACCATGCCCAGCTTCCCATATAATATTTAAATACAATTTAGTTTCAATAGTTATAATGTATATAAAGTACTTGTTGCTTTATATCATTTGAAAGAATAAACAGTAAATAAAATGTAACTTTATAGCATCGTCCATATGGCTGATACATAGCATAAGGAGCAAAGTGTCTCGTCTACATATCCAACAGTAGCTATTATTAAACACAGTGGGGCTAGTGAGATGGCTTACTGGATACAGCATAACAGCTTGACTTCAACTACCAGAACCCATCAGGTGGAAAAAGAGAGCAAATGACTGTAAGTTGTCTTCTGATCTCTACAAGTATACAGTGATATGTTTCTACACATAAATAAGTGTAATAATCAGATTGTATCATGACTTTATAATTCATCCTAAATATCTATATTTTACTGTAACAGTCACACAAATTGTTCAATCTTTAAAATACTCAAATTTGAAAGTGTTTATTTTAAATAATTCCAAATAAATCTTCAAGTCTTAAATATTTATCATTAAACATTTCTAGGACTGTAGCGATGGCTCAGTGTAATAGCACTTGTTGCTCTTGTGGAGGACCTAGGTTAAATTCTCAACATTCACATGGCAGTCCAACCACCCATAACTCCAATTTTAAAGGATCACTCCCCCTATTACACGTAAGCAAAACATTTAGACACATAAAATAAAACTTTAAACAAGTAAACTAGCTTTGTTTTTATATTTCATACTAAAGAAAAAAAACCATTTCTTCTCACATTTAGTAGTTTTAATTGACAGGATGATTATATAAAGTTGCACATGTACTCATTGTGAAATGATTAATAGACTAATTAGCAGAACATGATGGTGCATTCCTATAACTTTAACATTTAGAAGGCAATGCAGGACGGTATTTCCAGGTTCAAGGCCAGCTTGTTTGTCATTATCAGGACTATGTAATGAAATCATGATGCAACACACACCCACACACATGTACAAATGTACATGCATACACATAACAAAAAAGCCCACATAAATTAAATAAATCATTTCACAGTTATTTCTCTATGTGGTAAGAACATATTTAATGTTTTGCCAATTTCGTATTCCCTAAATTCATTATTGGCTAAGTTAAACTCAGAATAAATTTGCTGCTGGGCAGTGGTGGCGGACGCCTTTAATCCCAGCACTTGGGAGGCAGAGGCAGGTGGATTTCTGAGTTTGAGGCCAGCCTGCTCTACAGAGTGAGTTCCAGGACAGCCAGGCTATACTGAGAAACCCTGTCTCAAAAAAACAAAAACAAAACAATAAATTTGCTGTTTTTTTTTTTAAATCCAGTATTTTATACTTAATTCTGCGTTCCCAATCATCTCAGCCTCAACATGTCCCATTATTATAGGACGTTTGAACCTCTATAACAAATAATCCTCCCAGAGCACAGATGACCAGAGGAAAGAAAAAACTAGTGCCATTTAATTCATTTCACTGTACAGAAAGATGTCTTAATTTTTTTCTTTTTCTTTTTGGTTTTTCGAGACAGGGTTTCTCTGTGCAGCCCTGGCTGTCCTGGAGCTCACTCTGTAGACCAGGCTGGCCTCGAACTCAGAAATCCACCTGCCTCTGCCTCCCAAGTGATTAAAGGCGTGCGCCACCACCGCCCGGCAAGATGTCTTATTTTTAAAGCCAACAAAAAGCCTATAACCTATTTGACTGACTCATGCTTGCTTACGTAAAATCAAATAAATATCTATAGAACTTCATTTTGCTTAGATCACAGTCAACAGGCCACTCAGGAACTATGAAATTTCTCTATTTGGATCCTGGGAGCTATTATTGATTTCCCAAATAGTGATAACATCAGCCAATACTGTGAAGTACAACTTGCAAGCTGTGTCAGTTAGCCATCAATTAAAGTTGACACAATTATGAACCTTATTCTATAGATGAGGAAAAAGACTCAGGCTAAATATGAACACCCATGCAGGCAAACTCAGAACCGAAACTCTAGTTGCAATATACCATGGTAATCGTATATATGCATCACTTTTGAGTATTTGTCTTTTCTGCTGACTCAGAGTCAAGGAACATCCACACATCTGACAAAAACCAAAATTAAATAGAGAAAATGTTAAGTTTTCTTTAAAAAAAAAAAAAGTCTCATAACAAGAGTGCTAAAATACTAAGTGAACTCTGTTTACTCAAGGCCAGAATGTATACAAACCCTATGTAGACATGTATGACCTTGAACTTCAGGTCATGTAGCTTCAACCTTCTGCGTGCTGGAACTACAGGCCTGTGCTGTGATGACACCTGGCTTATGAGGTGCTGGGGAAGGAGCCTCCCAGATATTAGCACTCCTTTCTCATTCTGAAAGCTATAACTGTGCACAAGATGAAATCAACTTATAAACAAAATTCTGAAAGAAATGTAAGTGCATCAGCTTATACATCTTTAGACCTTGTAAGTTACAACCTTTGCACCACAGGATCATATGAATAGTCATTGTAAAGACATCTAAAAAAGTGACTCTCTTGAGAAGCCTATCTATCATGTTCTGGGATGGTTTACTGCTCCTCCCCAGTCCGTATCTCTCTTTCTTAATATTTATTGAACACGTTATCAAACTTAGAGGGTACAAGCTGTGACTCCTCATGTCTGATAACAACCTCACTTCGGTTCACTCTGGCTCGCCGTAAAAACCTTTCCTGTGGTGCAGCAGTCAATGATAAGGCTTTCTCTACCTGAGCGGGTGTCCTGAAGCAGAAAAGGAACTGTCTGGGCTGCTCTTGGCAGTGCTGGGCTGTCTCTGCTACAGATAACACAAGTATATTAATGTAACAGGTACTCAAAAATCAAAATCTCTCGACTATATATTATCAGAAACTAATTTAGATGGGGGCAAATATGGTTTCCTTCTAAAATACAAGTTTATAAAAATTCCTTTATTAGGTTCTGTTTGGGTTCATAAACATGATGACCGGTGTTCACACTATTATTATGTGTATGTCCCTCAACCCTGTTACAATTCTAGCATACTACCACACCGATAAGAATGTTAAGAGACTGTTATTTTGGAATAGAGTATAAATGACAGCAAATGTGCTTCGGTGTTAAGTGGGAAACTCGAGATGACATTGAAGGCTGGCATTTCCTTAGCAAGACTGACAGTATTTTCAAGGAGGAACAAGGAATTGTTTTACATGATCATTTTAATTTCAGAGTACTAACAATCACTCTCTATCCAAGCACTGTCTGTCACAGCAGATATAAGTGTAAACAGCAAAATATGTGAGAAAATAGTCAACGTCACTAGCAATCAAGGAAATGAAAACAACCCAAAATCTGATGTTACTTATTATACAGCACAGTACATGGTATATAGCAAGTATAGATATTAGTAATTTAAAAAAAAAATCAACATTTCTGTCCAAAAACATACAAATTAGATCATGTACATCTATAACCCCTCTACAACCATCCCTCTTCCTTCCACCTCCATCCTTACAAATATCCAAAGAATCATTAAAGTTGGAAAACTACTAACTTTCATGTCCTGCAATAGAAAAATTGCAATTACCTATTCAATCTACTTTTTGGTAGCCACTAAAATTGACCTTCTAAAACAATAACTGAAAAAAACAAAAGAACTTGTAAAAACTAGAGGGAAGTATATTTAAAAGCTGTTCATATTACTAACTTAGTAATGGACTTTGTTATTAGCCTTTCCAGTTTTTCTTTAATGTATTTATTTTTATAATTTAAAATTAAGTTCAAGGTTCTTGAGAAAAATGTGGTGCTAGATTATTTTATTTGTAGTAGTTACACAACTAACATACCCACACCACACACGGCAACTCATAGACTTACCAGAAAACTCCAGGTCTACACAGAAACCACCTCTTAGATGATTAGAATAGCCTATCCTATCACAAAGCTTTTTCTAAAATTTGAATTAGTCCATCAATTAATAGTTTTTGTTGTTTTGAAATTACAAAAAGATTCTTTGATTAAGTGTGCCTCTCTCCCATAACCAAGGACATACATGGGCATGGCAGCCACGACCACGGGACTTTTCAGAGTGCTGTAATAACTTTTTCCCCATCTTCCGCATAACGCAACACTCACTTCCTCATTCTGTCTCTCTCATGTACTGTATTTATAACTGGACCCAGGCAAACGTATCACTTAGAATCCTTCAAATCTCTGGAATTTAAGTAATTTAAAATAATTTAAATCTCAAAATGTTTAATATTTTATTAACGAAAAAAAATTCCTTATTGCCAGCTGTGCTCAACGCCAACAATCTCAGACATAAAAGAAATCTTGAAAAAGAGTACCATGGTGGCTCATAACCACCTGTTGCTCCAGTCATTGGCACACACTCACGTGTGTACACGTACACACACACACACACACACACACACACACATAAAATAAAAATCTGTAAAAGGATAACCTAAGAAATCTAGAAAAAAGGGTTGTTTTTAACTTATTAATACCATTCTCAGTACCAAAAGATAGTGTAACAAATACAATATATGGTATAATAAAACAGCTATTTTTACATGTACAGAATTATATTCGTTCATATTCACTTCAACTCCTTAGAATCTACTGTCCTCTTTCAGAATTTTTATCAAGTTAAACAAAAAATCCATCTATTATCAAGATACTTCTGGCTGGGTTTGATGGTACCCACCTTTAATTCCAGCACTCGGGGGGCAGAGGCTGAAAGATCTCTTGAGTTCAAGCTCTCCTGAAGATTCTGCCACTCTCTCTCCCCCCTCCCTACCAATA